TGGGGGTATGACACCTATAATTGTTGCTCCTGTTTGTTTATTTTGCTTATGCTAGTTTGCTATATGTTCTAATAATTAAAAAGTTTACAAGTTTTAACAATGATCATGATGAAATAATAATAATAATAATAATATAAAATAATAAATTAAATCTCCCATCAGCATAATTTCTAAAAACACATAAAAAAAATTCATTTTGACTGTTTGAAAAATGTTTAAGACAAAGTCTTAGTAAATAAATAAAAGTTATGCATGAATAGTAACTTAGCAAGTGATTAACACCTGTCACGCTATAAGAATTTATTGAACTAGTTAGTCTTTTAAGTAGTTTGAATTTGTTTAGAGTAGTGAATAAGATTTACTGTAGATTTAGTTTAGGGGGAGAAAAATGCTAGTAAATAAGGCTAGCTAATGAGACTACTGCATTTAATAATGCATGTTAAAAAAAGAGAAAATCAAATATGAAAAGAAATAAAAATGAAAAAAAGAACATGATGAATAAATTTCATGTGTCCGAACTAGAGGAACAATAGGTATTTTCAATTTGAGTAACAAGTTGAACTCATTACATGTGAGATCGCGTCAAGTGAATAGGTGAAATAGCTAGAAAAAGTAACTTAGAAAGTTATGCAAGGAGAATTCTCAAGTTCAAAAAGAACCAAAAAGCCTCTGAATCCATAAGCTAGTTAGTTTCCCTATTAAAGCTGAAAGTAGAGCCTTAGATGATAGTATAGAGAAATCAAACCAGAATTTAGACTATTTATCTTCATAGAAGATCTATCACATGAAAGATGACATCATGTGTTACACACACATATACAAATTGAGAATTAATCTAAGAAAAGATTGAGTTATGTCAATGTTTGAATACATTCCTTTGGAAAAAATTTCTAGTGTGAGAAATGTATTTCTGTTGATAGATTATTGTTACTTATTATATATTTATGATTTTATTTGTCGCATCACTTGAGAACAGGTAAATATTCAAGTTTGGGGTATGACAACTCATTATTTGTGAGATATTTAAACTTTTTACTCTTAAAATTTCAGGTTTGAATTAAGCCCCAGTAGAGTCATTTATTTATGTTTCATTTAACTTCAGTTAAAGTAGTATGGAACACATAAGATTTTGTCTTTTGTTATTTTTATGTGTTTTTATATTTGTGTTAAAGAAGCTCAGATGACCATATGTCATGCCCAGAATTCCTGAAAACCACTAAGCAGGCCTTGAGCCAGAAGATACTGGTATGGGTTTTTAACCTTAGAGGTAGGGTTCACGTGGCAGAAATTTAAGAAGGAAAATTAGGGATAAGCTAAATGAGCTAAACATATACGGATGGACATTAGAAGACATACTATGAAAAGCTGCATTTGAGGTGCTTAAGGAGCCACCTTATACAACAAGTATATTGTGAGACATGTTGTCTCCTCGAGGCGCTGTGTACCAACCCAATACATTTATAACTATTGGATAAAAAAGGGAATATGACTTATTCTTTTTCCACATCAATGGATAATCAAAAGGCCCGTGTTCCAAAGTCTAAAGGAAACCCTAATAGTGAGGAATGCTATAAAAAGACCAACGTTGGGTTGGAGAAGATGTTCATACATTGAAAATCACTTAGAGAAAATATTCCACCAAGAAGGAATGAAAATTGGACCAGTTTTTAATGTGTCTCTCTCCATGCCATTCTTGAAGAATACCACTCAACCAGGCATGCCAGAACCCACCTCCTGTTGGTTAAAGACTAGAATTAGTAGAAGTGACACTTTTAGGTTTAAACTTTTTTTCTTGTTATTTAGAAATGTTAAGCTTGAGATTTTCTATTGAAGTATTTAATCTGCTCATCATGAGCTAAGTCTCTTTATGCTGAGAATGTGAAGTTTAATAAAAAGTAACCTTATTGTGTGATGTAATATGATTTTAGTGATTTATTTTGTCATATATTTTAATGATAAATGTTTATTAATCTGAATGATCATCTTATTAATACACAAAAGCCTATTGATGTTGAAGAACCCTTTGATAAATGGAAGTCATGAAAAATATGGATAAAAAAGTAATAGGAAATATTTCTCATCTAGTTATTTTAGGGATTAAAAACTATAACTATAGGAGAAATCATAACTTAACAATGGGTGTGCACTTATGCTATTATGAGACTTAGGAATTTGTCCCATAGCTATTTTTTGCATTTACTCTAACATTGTAGGCATATAACACCATGTCACATTCTGGCCTCACCTGTCGCGACAAATCTCATCACTCTAACACTTTAGGTGAAACTCATTAAATGGATCTTTACTCAACAAGTTTTAATCTCTAATAAGATTCCTTACCTTTTATCTATTAGTATTCATTCTGAACTCATGACAACTACATCTATTATTATTTTCTACTTATGACTATTCACAACATTTGAAATGAAAATCAATTTAAGTCAATACGGTCTCTGTGAGAACAAAACTCTTACTTTAATCACTTGCGTTCACCTGGACTATGTATACTTTCACATACAAAGATCCCATTGCACACCAATATTAAAATACTTTTATGTATGCCTAACTCAACAGATGAAATTTCAAAGAGGAAACACGCCAACCTTAAAATTATTGAAGGGGAGGCAAAAACCTTCAAAGAAGAATAAGCATATGCGAAGAAGAATGACACACCCTTGTATTTATTACATATCCTCTTGTCTTATTATCACCCTTAAATCCTCAAAAGGTCTTGAAGTCGTGAAGGCATGGTCTAAACCGCTCTCACCGATGAAGGAAAATGCAATATCCAACATCTCCTAGTCTACACTAAAGAATTGTATCATGCCTCCTTCCAAACTTCAGGTTGAACATCCCTCATTGCAAGGAATTATGAGATTTTAGAAACATATTGAGAAATGAATGTGAATAGCATCCTAACGCATATTTAAACATAAATTTGACATTTTATTTAAAGCACACCTACGACAAGGAAGTTCATTAAAAATCAAATCAGAAAGACTGAAAAATTCCGTAAACCTCTTTCTTTAAAAACCTAATGAAGAAATCAAGAATAGAAATAAGGAGACTTGAATGTTACCTCAAAATAACGGAGTTGGTGACCCACACATTGTAGATCTTGCCAAAAAGAGTGGCTCATACATGTCAAATATGAAGAGGAGTGTAAAAAGAATGGGCAGAAGAGAAGAAGTTAAAGGCATGAGAAGGGACTTGTTCAAAACCCAACAAATAATCGAAAAAATGAACTATGTGATCCATTACACTAGAAAGTGAAAAAACACCCCACCAATAGTCAACATCTCATTATGAATTATTCAGAGTACTTGAGTACCCTAAAAAAGTTAATATGTTTACCATCATACATAGGGACACACGTTAAAGTTTCCTTGAGAAACATTGTTGATCATAAAAAAATACATTTAATGTATCCGCTCCAAATGCTAGTAAGGTCTCATTAAGTCTCTCCACCTACTCATGTTAACAAGCGGCCTAAAGATGTATTTGCCAAATCCCTCATTCTAAAAAGTAAGAAAAATGGTTTGAGGGATAACTGTTCTACGTCGTCCGCGAGGACTATTTCAAAAGGTCTAAGACCAAAACCAAGCAAATGAGTGCATGGAGCAAGTGGACCTTCTTCTTACCCATAAGCAAAGGATTTGGTCCTCCAATAGATCAACCATCATTCAATTTAATCAGTTGTCTGCATGACACGTTACACCAATCACAGACGATTCCAACCACTCTTAATATATAAGTATAAAGCACATCATTTTAGATATTCAAATCCATTCTCATTTTTATATTACTTTTCATACTTTCACTGATTTAGACGTAGACGTTAAAATGATAACTTTGCATATCAATTCTGTCTGCCGCACCAAAAACTTACTTTACCAATTTAAAATCTTATCTCATCATTTTACTACACCCTTCATATTCCCTGTTGAAACAAATATAATAATTTGGGTCAAAATAGCATTATTTAAAGAGTAATATTAATATATTGTAGGATCCCTTCGTACTCCTTTTGTTGCTGTGAGTTTGTTTAGAATCCGTACGAAGTGACACGTTTTCTACTCTATCCTTAACAAACTAAACAAAGGGAAAATTCATGTGCCACTTTTAAATCTAAAGAAAAATAACAATCAGAAGGTCTTTGAGAAACACTGGTGGACCAATACTTGATGTTGAAGAGAACAACACTACAACATCAACACAACAATTTCTAGCTGTATCAATTATTGTTTGAAAACATAGCAAAATTTGATGGTTTGTTACATGGCCATTTTGAGAACGTTCAAGAGGTGCTATTATCCAAAACTTAAAATTCAACACAATTAAATAAAATTTTATAAGATATTTATCACGTTTAGACCATAATAAAATAAATTTTTTTATTTATTTTACCACATTAAAATTAAAATTAATCTATATATAATCTCCAAAAATTTAAGATATGGTTCTGGCTTATTGTATATCTATTTCCAAAACCATAAAAATTTATTTGTTGAAATTTCAAATAATGAAGCCATCAAAGCTTAATTTAAACAAAAACAAATAAAATATAAAAATAAACTACTATTAATTAAAGTGATAATAGTTATTATTTTACAATCGTTTTCCAGTAGATAAAATGTTACTATAATTAATTGAGACCTTATGCACAAATCAAAATATAAGATAATGTAGAAATATAAAGCAAAATAAACTTGGAGACAAAAGATAATATGTAAGGTGGGGTAAAAGATCTTATCAACATGGATGTTTTTGTCCAACAATATCTTAAACTCTTCTTTTGTGGGACCCAAAAAAGATTTTGTGTTGCATAACTTCTCTATATATAACATCATCTATTTTCTCCTCTATCAACTTCAAATTCATATTTCACATTGAAAAAAAAAAATACAAATATCACTCGCTATTTTTCTTCATTTTTTTTCCATTTTAATTTAAGGAAAATTCAAAATATTGAGATATATTATTGTAGTGATTAGAGGAAGATGAAGGATGGTGGTAGAAAACAAGGTGTAATGACACCATGTGCTGCATGCAAGCTTCTTAGAAGAAGATGTGCTCATGATTGTGTATTTGCTCCATATTTTCCAGCTGATGAACCTCACAAGTTCGGAAGTGTTCACAAGGTTTTTGGGGCAAGCAATGTGAACAAAATGTTACAGGTTCATAATTTAATTTATGCACTTTATTTTCTTATCACTATCATGTCATCATCACATGATAATAATTCCAATCGTTTTCATCAGAATTTTGTGGTACAAGTTTTTTTTATGACCAAGTCAAAATTTGATAATATAATGGAAAAAGTTAGAGTGAGTTATTCAATAAATTTACTTAGTTTATAAACAATTAAAAATAACACTAAAGACAATACAATTATTTGTAAAAATTCTATGATATGATGTCATGATTAATCTATATCTAACAAATATTTTATGATCTTGTAACGGCTTAGAAAATTTCTTGTACTCCCTATTTTTTTTCTATATATTATAAGGTGCTGTACTATCCCATATTTTTTTCTATATATGTAATTTTCTTTTTAAAATATAAATTAGAAGGTGTTGTACTATCCCATATTATTTTCTGTTATATGTAATCAATTTGTTCAACAATACCTCTCTTTATGACCACAGCATGCATGGCTTTTCATCTTGGACTGCTTGCGAAATGATATACTAATAATAAAATAAAGTTTTATAGTTTATTTATGCCACCTTTTGTTTTAATATAATTATTTGTTTCACCTTTTCCTTTTATCTCTAATATCAGGGTTACATTGATAGAGACACCTTAGTAATGTGACAAAAAGTGATGTTAATTCCTAGATAACGATATTTCATCTTCTAAATCAATTAATAAATATAAATAATTATCTTGTAAGCATGATACATTGATGATGTATATATTACTTCTAAAAGAAATGTATAGTTAAAATATGCTTTTTATTTTTGTATGTTGAATATTTAATTCAAGTATTTCTTTTATTACAATAATCTATAGTCTCTCGTCAACTCTATAAATAAACCCCTCCCCTTTTTCCAAAGTAACCAACTTCAACACCCACCTTATTATCTACTTTTGACTATACCCACACCAACCACTTACAAATTCCAAAAGCTAGTCTATATATTTCTTTTACCTAACTAATCTATAATTGCATCTTAAAAAATCTTTCACAGTTTTCTATTTATGGGATGTCTCATGCATCTCCATCATCAAGGGATGAAAAACATGCATGTATAAGCTACATATTTTTAAATGTATAAGCCACATTTAAATATCAATAATTTTGTCTCCATGGTCTAAACAAAATAGATATACTAACATTACTATAGAGTATTATAGGTAATTCATTCCTTAAACATATTTTTGACACAAATTGTTATATCAAATACTTACATTAAAATATTTTTCAGTATATGTATTTATACGGAAAACAATTTTTTTAAAAAGTTTATTTAAAAATAATGAGTATTATAATAAAATATTTTTATAAAAAATTAAAATTTATTTTTGTATAAAAATAAAAATACTATTATAAAATATTTAAAAAAAATTATTTTGTAACACATATAAAATTAATTCATTAGTCGATTTTATTATTTTATTAACTACAAAATTATATATTATTAACTACTTTTACTTTTTCATCAACCTATAATATATATAGCACAAATTATTTTTAAACATTAATAAATCAATATTTTATATTTTATTAATCTATTTTATTTTATTACTTAAAATTATATTTTATATTTGAACACTCATTCTTTAAAAACCCCTTTGTTTCTCATTATCGACATATAAAAATAATGTAACAACAAACCAAAAAATATAACTTTTTAAATCTCTCCCCTTCAATATTTCTTCCATGATGTGTGAAACGCTCTAGCTACCCCATTTTTGTGAGGAATATATTTAGCTTATTATTATTATTTTTATTATTATTATTATTATTATTATTATTATTATTATTATTATTATTATTATTATTATTATTATTATTATTATTATTTTTAATGTTGGTAGGAATTACCGGAACATCAACGAAGTGATGCAGTTAGTTCAATGGTATATGAAGCAAATGCAAGAGTAAGGGACCCTGTGTATGGTTGTGTTGGAGCCATATCCTCTCTTCAGCAACAAGTTGATGTACTTCAAACCCAATTAGCACAAGCACAAGCAGAGGTTGTTCATATGAAAATTCATCAATCTTCATCATCATCAGATCAACACCAATCATCACCATCATCAGAAAATGTGTACCATTTGGGGTCATACTAGCTAGCTAGAAAAATTATCATATATAGTTTTACTTATAAGGAGTGAAATAGATTGTTGTTATAGTTTTGAATGATTTTTAAGAATGGGACTAATGTAAACCATATGATACACTTCTGCATTATTAATAGGCATTGGTGAATATGTTGTTAAACATTTACTTATTTTCTAAGGTACAACTAGGGTTTAGTTTATTACCTGTCAAATTAGCAACTTCATTTTCTGTTTTGTATCCCTCACTTTTTTATCATACTTGAATGACATCAATATATCTCTCTATATTATCGAGAGATGATGATGGTTAGTTAGTTATGTATCTTGGTTAGATGTAAACGTTAAAGTTTGTAATGAAGAGAAATCTTATTGTTTCTAGAATTTTTTTTATTAATAATCATGTATTAAAAAAAAAATTCACAAATAACCGCGTTTCGGAAAAAATTACGCAAATAACCATGTTTCAGATGACTCCTCAAAGGAGGAGCCATCTGAATTGGCGCATGCACCCATTTTTTAAGGGGAGACGCCATCTCACTTGGCGCCTATGTGCTTAGGGCATGCCCTAAGTCAAGTGAGATGGCGCCTAGGTGTTATTTTAGGGCAAAATGTGATTTTTTTTGTCCGGTGCGTTGCGTGTTGGATACAGGATCAACAAAACGGACTTTTTATTAAAAAAAAAATAATTACATCCAACTGTATTACATTAAAATAACAGATTAAAAAAAACAGATAAAAAAAACGGATAAAAAAATACAGGAAAAAAAACAGATAAATCAGTGATCCCCCGGAACCCGGTAATGTCCCCCGGTTCCGCATCCCCGTCCTCGCCTTTCTCGTGCTGGGTGTCGTCGTGTTTCCTGCTGCGGCAAGGTCGATGGCCCAGCGAAGTCAATGCGGTCCGGATCCATAAAATCAGTCAGATCTCCATATCTACAAGATCCGCTTTGGTACAGTCGGTTATCCATACCCTCAAAGTTTGGTCGTGTTGGCGGTGGGTGGGGTTCCATAGTGGGTTTGTAGCATTGGTCATCTGAGTATGATGGGTAAAAAGGAAATGGATCTTGGGGTGTTTGGTATTGAGGATGTTGGGTGGTCTGGTGATATTGTGGTTGATGGTAGGCTGGGTCGGTTTGTTCGTAATCTTCCGACATTCCCATATCAGGGCTAAGGCTGGATGTTGAGGGGCCCATATTGGGATATACGGAAGACTGAAATTGTGTGTGAGGTATGCGGGTGTGCTGGTATTGGGATTGGTATTGTGGTTGGGTGTGAGGCATATCGGGGTATTGGTAGTGTGGTGGTGATTATGGTTGGTTGTGTGGCATTTGAGTGTAATTGTGTTGTGGTGGAGACTGTGGTTGGGTGTCTGTGGGTCTGTTTATTCTTGGGGGTTGGTGGGAGGTTGATGGATTTTGGGTTTGTTGTTAGGGAAACGAGGGTTGTGCCCATTGTGTGCGTGGGTCAACCAAGTACCTTGGATGAGACACATGCATTTCAGGGTTACTAACCGACCTGTACCAAGACAAATATTGATCTGTGTGTCGCATATTACCTTGATTAAGGAAAACCGGGAATTGCAAGACATAGCCGTGATGCCTCTGCCACATCTTACACCATTCCGGAGCGAAGTCTTTCCAGTTGGTAAGACCCCACTGGGCGTCGACCCTTTTAAGATGCCATGAGGACAAACAAGTTGGATCACTTGGTATCTCTTGATGTATTTCGAACTGCATCTTCACACGGTCGCTGTGGTGCTTCTCCACAATGTTGAATCGAATGATTGTAGTCTTCGCGGTCCAAGTTATTGCATCCTCCGGGTTTGGATCATGGTCCAAACCCAAATATGGTCTCCAGACGAACTGTGATAAAATTTAAATCAGGTTAACGCAAAAGTAATGCATAAATAATTTAAATGAAGAAAAGTTAAAAGCTACAACGTACGTCATCCGGGCCTAAGTGATCCAACAGATTGCGGTATAGTGCGACATTGAATCTTGGATTCTTGCCGTAATCCATACCCCTCACGCAGTACCTAAAGGAAATGAAAAACATTTTATTCTTAGCATATATTTGGGGAAGAGATGAATAGTAATAAATGCTATAACTTGATGACTTACTTTGTTGCGTACGGGAAACCGAAAGTGTTGTTGTTGACGGGGTTTAAGGACTCCATCCTCCACCAACCCCAGACTTGTAGTAAAAAAGCGCACCCATAAAATGTACATTTTTCCTTGACTGCATTTTTGCACAAGGAACTGTATAGGTGGGCTAAAACTGCAGAACCCCAACTATATTTTCTTGTTTTTTCAAAATTTCTTAGTAAATGTAAATACATAAAATTTACACTATTTCCCGTACTTTCGGGAAATAAAAAGGTACCAAATAATATCATAAGATAAGTTCTGGATTTTACTACCCTGTCATTCTCGGAGGAATTTTCGTTTAATTCCAAACTTGCATAATGACTTTTCAGCTCAGTGAGTAGTATTCCCTGACCTCTCGCACCACCACCTTCTACCATATCCCTGCCCAACAGTTCTTCACACTGAGAGTTGGGTTGTTGAACCGACCCGTTCACGGCCTTACCGTCGACAGGGAGACCTAGTAGCATGTACACATCCTCTAGCGTGATGGTACATTCACCTATTGGTAGGTGAAATGTATGGGTCTCTGGTCTCCACATTTCCAACATTGCAAGAATGAACCTCTAGTCAATGGTGCAGTTGGAGATCTTTATGACATGTCCAAAACCTGCATATTCCAGATATGGTACGATAAATGGGTTGGGATCCAGGTAGTTGTGAGAACGGATTCTGAATCTGTTTGTGTCCTGAGTTCATAATGTAACATGTGTAAGATTAAGTAAGACGAACAACGCATTATCTGAAGTATGAAAAATTTATAACCAAAATAGAAACTTACAAATGCGGCAATGTTTTCCCTTGTGCCTCTGTGAGTATCGCCCATTGTTAGAAGAGCCATTGTTTAAAATGCTTGAGATTATGAAAGACTTAGGAAGAGATAGAGAGTATGAAAGACTTAGAAAGTGTAAGAGATTATGAAAGATTTTGTAGCAGAGAGTGAGACTTGTGTGGGTGTGAGAGATGTATGATATGGTATGTATTTATAGGCAAATAAATTTCATATAGTGGTTGCTGGTGCTTGCATGCATGCGAAGTGTCACTCTTGCAGGCTAGGTGGCAGCCTAGGGGGTTACATATATGCATGCATGCATGTACAAAAAATGAAAGGTGTCACTCTTGTAGGCTAGGTGGCAGCCTAAGGATGTATCACGATTGGACAGTAAGGGAGGCGCCATTGGACTTGGCGAAAGAGTACAAAAATGAATGGTGTCGCTACCCCAATTGGCGAATAAGAGGTGTCCTTTGTTGCAGGCTAGGCTCAGGCTACGTGACAGCCTTTGGGATTCCTTGCCTGAATGCATGTAAGCACATTGGAGGTGATGAGAGGAGACTTACAACATACAGTATAGGTGCAGAGTAGGCGTAGGCTAGGTGGCAGCCTAGGGGGTTACATATCTGCATGCATGTATCACGATTGGACAGTAAGGGAGGCGCCTTGGACTTGGCGAAAGAGTACAAAAATGAATGGTGTCGCCACCCCAATTGGCGAATAAGAGGTGTCCTTTGTTGCAGGCTAGGCTCAGGCTACGTGACAGCCTTTGGGATTCCTTGCCTGAATGCATGTAAGCCCATTGGAGGTGATGGGAGGAGACTTACAACATACAGTATAGGTGCAGAGTAGGCGCAGACTAGGTGGCAGCCTAGGGGGTTACATATCTGCATGCATGTATCACGATTGGACAGTAAGGGAGGCGCCATTGGACTTGGCGAAAGAGTACAAAAATGAATGGTGTCGCCACCCCAATTGACGAATATGAGGTGTCCTTTGTTGCAGGCTAGGCTCAGGCTACGTGACAGCCTTTGGGATGCCTTGCATGTAACACTATTGGCAGCCTTGGGGGTTGCATCCTTACTTAATTGAAATTTTTAGTCTTACGTTTATCATAACATTCATTCACTTAATCTGTCAAATCTTCCAACCTTCAAATGTTCTTACAATCAAACCTTCAAACCTTCAAACAATCAAACATATAAACTTTCGAATCACTCATAAAGTTCAAACATTCCAACCTTCAAACCTTACAGCATTCAAACCTTCATACAATTAATAAACCTCAAACATTCCAACCTTCGAATCACTCATAAAATTCAAACATTCCAACCTTCAATCCTTAAAACAATTCTATGCAATGGCCTCTGCACCACAATTTATCGTCAAAGCACATTTCAACGGTGAGACATACATTTTTCCCACCGCTGGGTTTTTGTTTAGAGACACAGACAACATCTGATTTCTCTTAAACGGGAAAGCCAATTTCTCGTACTTCAAAAAAAGATTGGAGGCCAGACTTGAACGAGGCCCGGTGTCCCAGATATTTTATCAGAATCCAGTTTTCTTTGGAAACAACCAAGTAATTTTTTATAAGGTTGAAGTTCAAGATGACGAGGATCTCCAGAATATGTTTTCCAGCCATGTCTATTCTGGGTACGACTCTATTGAGTTGTACGTTATGCTGCGAGAGCCTCAGGTGACACAAGAGGTTGATCCTTTGGAGAATGAACAAGCTGAGGTAGATGCAGTTGATGATGAAGAAGAAGATAACGAGTTAGAGTTTGATGAAATGGTGAATGATGATTCCGACGATGATGGCATCCCTAGTATTCCTGCAAACAAAATCTACACACCACCTCCGCACATGACAAACTTCAACATGGGCGGAGATGAACCTTCTACTGACTTATTTTTCAATCCGTATATGCAGTCGGATGAAAATTTAACAGAGAAGGACAAGTTTCGTAACAGAGAGGAATGCATCAGGGCCATTAAAAAATTCCACATGCTCAACTCGGTTGATTTTAAGGTGGATCGTGTCAACCCGGAAAGGTACAAGATCAAGTGTGTCCACCCTGACTGTATGTTCA